CCGATCTCCCCAAAACCCCAAAACCCCGAACCTATCAAAAAGATTTTTAAATACGATAAAATTTTATAAAATCTAAAATATTACCTTTTTAAATAGTATTATTGATTTACGTAAATGGAAGATAATCAAAATATAATCAACTATAGTCATTTAGTTTAAACTGAGAATTTATCTCAGTCTTAAAACTTAGTATAAGGAGAGTAAAATTCCTCTCTTATGGTAGCATAGCCTCCTATCAAACTTTACAAGAGAAGATTTTATATGCTTACTTTATTTTGTATCTCTACTCTAATGAATGGGGCAGGCTGGATATCATTTGCTCCCATTACTGATACACTCAAGAGCGTAAATTCATTTTTAATTTATCCATTATATTTAGACTTATGGAATAAATTTATTTGTTATAAACTACATGTCTCAGATATACATGGTGGCATTTATTTTCATGAACTTTCCTTCAGTAGCTGCTCTTGATAAAAGAGGTTTAAGATTCGGATTAGTAATTGGGTCTTTACTGACAGCAATTGGTTGCTGGTTTAGATGTTTCTTGAACTATAGTTTTTGGTTTGCAATAGTTGGATAAACTATAATGGCTATCGCCTAGCCCTTCCTGATTAATGCACCTGGTAAAGTATCAGGAAACTGGTTTGGTGAGAAAGAGAGGATATATACAACTGCTATAGGTGTGAATGCAAATATCCTCGGTAATTCTTTAGGATATTTTTTACCTTCACTATTTGTAAAAAATTCAGATTTATAAGATCCTGAAAGTGCTAAAACCCATGTATTTCAAACAGTTTTAGTAACAGCAATTATTTCCACAGTAGTTTTAATCCCTATTCTATTATCATTTCAAGATAAGCCTCCAACTCCAGCATCCTATGATTAATAGGATGCGAACTTAACTACATTGAAGAAAGACTTTGTAGATTTGATGAAAAACAAAGGATTTATGCTTGCTAGTTTATCAAATGGCATGAATATAACATACTTTAATGGAATTGGAACTGTGCTAGCATAAATGGCTAATATCTACGGTTTTAGTGATATTGAGGCTTCCTATTTAGGTACAGCCTATTAAGTAGTTGGCATATTGGGTGCAACAATCGCTTCGATTTACCTATCAAAACATCCCAGATATTAACTAGTATCGCTAGTCACTACAGTCTTAACTATTTTAAGTATTTTTTATTCTTTTTATTATAATTTTAGCTTTCATACTGTCATACTTCGCATTGATAAGCGGGAATTATGCATTCTTGATGACAGCTATTTGTCTAACAGGTTATTTTAATTTGAGTATTATGGCTGTTGCTTTTGAACAAGGTATAGAGCTTTCATATCCTATCGGTGAAGCAACCTCTGGAGGAATTTTCAATATTCTCAATAACATTTTTGGATTTATACTAATTTTGATTCTGACCCCTATTTTAAATAACAACGAAAAGAAAGATGTTTTAATTTCATTTATCATTTTAGGCAGTTGCTTAGTTGCTGCTTTTATTTTTATGGCTGTTGGTAAATTTGAACTGAAAAGAACTTAGTATTATGAGGCTTAAAAAGATTTGAAATCTTAAGCATAATCTGATTTAAAACATTAGAGTTATTCACAAAAGGGTTTTGGGTTCTCAAGCGAAATCATATCTGAGGAACCATTCCAAACTTCTAGTTAAGGTATGAAATAGTGATTTATTATAAAACATAGTTATGTATTTGCTTAAATTACTTGAAATTTCAATATTCGGGGTTTTGGGGTTTTGGGGTTTTGGGG